ATCAAAAAACGTATTGCGATGGGAAAGTCTGCTGTTAGGGACCTCTCTAAAGTACTCAAGAGCAACAGTGTCTCTCTGGAGACCAAGGTGTACCTGATACAGTCCATGGTCTTTGCAATCACTTGTTATGCATCAGAGAGTTGGACAATGATTAGGGAGGATAGAAGGAGAATTGACGCCTTTGAACTGTGATGGTGGAGAAGAGTACTGAATGTTCCATGGACTGCCAAGAAAACAGATTCATCCTGGAGAGGGTTAAACTAGGCTACTCCTTGGAGGCAAGGATTCTGGTGCTTCGTCTGACATACTTTCATGCTGTAAGGAGAGACAGGGTAGGGTGGAGGGACAGCATAGGAGGGGAAGATCCTTTATGAGGTGGATTAATTCAGTGACTGGGGTAATCGGGATGGGTGTGTCAGAGGCAATGAGATTGGCACAGGATAGAGCAGGGTTTAGGGCAGTTTTACATAGGGTTGCTATGAGTCGCAAACGACTCGACGGCACTTAACAACAACAAGGGAGCCCTAGTATCTTAGGGGTAAGGAATTCATTGCTGATGCGAAGGTATGTGGTTCAAATCCACCTGCTGCCTCATAGAAGAAAGATAGGCAGTTTCCTCTTGTGCAATTTAATGCCTCTGAAAACACTTTGGAGGATCAGCTATAGGGCAATTCTGACTTGATGATACATTACGGCAACAATGCAAGTAATGTGTTTATCTGGATCTTGCCATGCAGACTCTTTTCTGAGAGCTCCTAGAAATCTGGATATCTACTCCTGCTCCTCTCTGCCTGCTAAGAACCTAACACAGCCCCACACAGATTCGCTCATGCATTCTTTTTTTACAGCACATTTGGAGTGCAAGGCAGTGGAACCAACGCAGCATTCTCTTCGAGCCAGCCTTCTTTTGTCCTTTAGACTTGTCAGACAGAAATTGGACACAGTCAGTCCATTTATTTTCTATATTTAAAGGTTATATAAAAACAAGTTTAAATGCAGGATGAAGCAGTGTTTCGTTCTGACACTACCCGTTCTGCCACCTTGAGGAAGTGGGCTTTATAACACAGCTCTCCAAAGAAATTCTGCAAATCCTTGCTCCCTTAATTTTAACAAACAATTTATGTTTGCCAAATGGGAGGGCCTTAAGATTTATGTAGTGATATTTCTATTGCAAATTTTCATCTCAGTTTATTTTATTTTTTTTCTTGTGTGCTGTCAAGTCGGGTCCAACTGGCACAGGAGGAGGTTGCCCCTCCTTCTCCAGAGGAGCATCAGGTGGATTTGAACTGTGCACTCCTTCAGGATTGCAGCGCAGCTTCTTGCCAGTAGGCCATCAGAGCTCCCTTTCAACCCAGTTTAGTTCCTTACTTTGGTATCTGAAATTTATTACCTTAGAGGTTTAGCGGAAACATTTTTTTTTGCCATCCTGCTACACTAATTTGATTTGAATTTCTGATCCTTATGGCCAAAGATTTTCGGTGATAATTTATTGAACATCTTCTCTGTAGTCAAAAAAGAAAAAGGTCTCAACCATTCTGAGGTCTTATCTGGGATAGAGTTTGCAAACAACTAGCCCTCTGACTGAATAATGCCATAGACACCTTTTGGTTTAACCACATGGGGTTTAAATTTTTCTCAAATCCATTGCCAGCGTTTACACATTGAGAAATCCAGACCTCTGGCCTGAGAAAACTCAGATGTTCTGGCAAAGCTGGGCCAGCAGTGTGCTAACTGGCATCATTAGCTGGAGCCGAGAGAGGCTGCCCTGTTAGACAGGGTGCACAGACTCCAGATGTCTCTGTGGCACTTGAAGCCAAGTGTCAGCTGTCATTCATTATTCTACAATTACTTTTCCTGATAGCAAACAAGAAAGTGAAACATTTCTGGTACTTGTATCTGTGAACAAAAGAAAACAACATAAAGACCCCAACATTGCCATGGAGTGGAAACCAACTGATTGCTGACCCTTTGGATTTTCAAGGCTGTACATCTCAGGAGAGGAGATTGTCCATCGTTTTCGGGCAGAGCCACTGGTGAATTGAAACCACCAGAGACACTCCCTATGGATTAGCAGTAATCTGTACAAAATAGGCCAGCAGAGCGTCCTCTACAGAAATGTGGTCGATTGCAGAAAGAGAAACAAAGAGAAGACACTTCAGCATAATTTTGTTTTAAAGGCAACTCAAATAATTGGTGTGCGGTTTACAGATCAGATCAAGACTTAGACACTGTGCAGACCTGGAATTGAACCCATCCCTATGGATCACCTTGCAGCCAAACAAAAATTACGCCTATAAAGTGAACAGTAACAAAAATTAGAAATGTGCTCCTTACGGTAATAACCATACAAGACCAAAAGGACAGTATTTTCCTGGTAACAAAGCTCAGGAGGCAGGAAGGGCAAAATGATGAGCAGAAGGAAACAAAGAACCCAGAGAGGAAGTGGGGAAAATGCTGTTGCATTAAGGGAATTGCAACTAATGTTCTGAAGCAATATGTATATATAAATTGTTGAATGGAAAACAAATTTGCTGTGTGTACTTTCCTCCAAACCACAATAAAATAATTGGTCTGTGGTTCTGTTCACCCACTTCCTTCATTCATATTGTATTCTTGCTTGGCCCAGGACATACAAGTTTGCAACAAGGAGGGAAGCTTTCTCCTTCCTCTCTGAAATGGTCAACCAAAAGGGTAAATATTCATAGTCTTTCCAAGGGAGCCTCAGGTCTGAGGGTCAGTGGCTGGATAGTTGCCCCAAAGCTATGACCACCTGTAGGGGGAGAAGAAAAACCTCATTACTCTTGAATCAGAACTGACAGCTGGCGGCCAGCCAGTTTCTGGGAGGCTGTAATCACCCAGGAGGAGATTGCCCATCTTTCTCTTATGGAGACGCTGGTGGATTTGAATTGCCAGAGAAGTACCACCTTTGGGTTAGCAGCCTAACTCCCTGCCACCAGAGCACCCTGCCTGGGGGGAAGTGGCAGTCATTAAGCAAGCTGTTGCTGTCATTAGGTGCTGTTGAGTGGACTGCGTCTCTTAGAGACCTCAAAAACTACAGATCTGAACCGTCCCCTATCCTGCAGCATCCTCCCAATCTCCACTGTGCACAAGCCAATTATTTCAGTCACTGTGTCAATCCATCAAGTTAAGTCTTCTCTTTTGCTCACCCTCTGCCTTTACCAGCATGATGTCTTTTTCCAAGGACAGCATGTCCAAAGTATATGAGGCAGTTTCACCATCCTTGCTTCAAGGAGTACCCTGGTTGCACTTCTCCAAGACAGATTTTCAAGTTGATGAGGTTTTCTTTTTTTGTGGAGAGGTAGGTTGAAAAGCTTGTTGAAAGAATGTTAAGCTTTGAAATGATCTCTTTTTGTAAATTGTATACTAATTTTTTTTTGTGTGTGTACCATCTAATTGGATCTGACTGGTACAGGAGGAGATTGACCCTCCTTCTCCAGCATCTAGTGGATTCGAACCTAGTACCTCTGGGATTGCAGTGCAGCTTCTTCCCACTAGGCCACCAGAGCTCCCTTCAAACTTATCCTGTATACTAATTTTTTAAGCCTCTTTTTTTTTGGCTGTTCATATTGATCTTTATTATAAGTTCTTGATATATTAAGGAAAGTCTCTCACTCACTTGTCTGAGCTAAAACAAAATTGGAATTATCTAAGGAAAAGCTTTCAATATTCCAGGGGTGAGGGAGGCAAGCCTTCTGTGGAGCCACGTGCCCTAGTCGATAGGGCTTGGTTTTAACTTTAGCAAAGAATGGAGGCTTTCACTGCAGCTCTGCTAATTGTGAAATGCTGGAGTCTAGTCTTAATTGGTCTTGAAGCGTGACTCCTGGAGGCATTTGTCAGCATGTTTAACTTCCCTTTCTTAGCCGCTCATTAAAGACTGAGTTCCTTGAAAGCTTTGCTGCCTGGCCTTTTCCCACAGTTTTCTGGTCTCATTATTTGGTTTTATCCTCAGATTAAGACAGACCAGTTGAGAACTGCGGTCATAGACTACCTTGTTTTGACACCTGCAACCTTCTCTGTGTGTGTCTCTGTCTCTCTCTATCTCTTTGAGACACACACACACACACACACACACACACACACACCTGCAGTATAGAACAAAGCTAAAAGAAACAATCCTATGAAAGTTTCTATAATTTTCTTTAGGTAAGTATTTTTGAAGTCACAGATGCAGTTTCCCTTCAGTTGTAGTACAAGAAATGCTTGTGATTCTCCTGGTTTATGTTAGGGACACTGTGAACTATGAAATCAGCTTGCTCCTAGGCTTAGTGAGAAATCTTGGGGACAGATCTGTAATCCTCTTCCAGCAAACACACAGGAACTGAGGACATCCATTTTTGGTATTCTCCTCACTCTAGCAGCATTTTATTATTTTTTCTATGCTTGCTTCTCCTTGACCCCCAGGTTCTATCTTTTGAAAATCTTGAGAATGGGAGAGGATATAAAAAAAAACAATTAAAATATTAGTAATTTATCATATACTATGAAAATTATGCCAGTTTGCTCTAATTTTTTTCCTTTTACATTTCTTTCCTTTCTGTTATCAACTTTGTCAGTTCTTTGTGATTTTCAAGAAGAGAATTGTTGATGCATTTGAGACTTTTTTGGCTGCCCATCTTCACTCCATCTCTAACCTGGCCTGATCCTCTTACTTTACCAGGGGTCCAGTGTTTTGTGTTTTTGCTAAGATTTGTTTTCAAGTGCCCCATTTATGAATTCTTTTCCAGCCGAGGACTGGCTGGTGTGGAAGGTCCGAAGAAATCCCTGATGTTGAACCTGGTCTTTCACATAGTAGGTGTTAAATGCTTCATGACTTAAATTTTATTGTGGCTTGTAGCTTCCACTTGGTGTTTAAAGTGGTAGAGTTATGTTCTCTTCCAAAGGCTAGCTCCCTCCACAGCCTGGGTCTGGGTAGTGCAGCCTGCAAGACTCAGTGGTGTCTGGCTGTCAGTGACATTCTCTGCTTTTCTTTTCTTTTTCAGAGTATGACCGGTTGGGTTTCCTCCTGAAGCTGGACTCTAAATTGTGAGTAGAAGGAAAAAATGTCTTGTGTTTGTGGTACAGCGGTCTGGTCTATGACATCTGGTCTAGCTTTAAAGGGTCAGCCTTCCTGGCACCTGTGTTTGTTGGAGGAACGATGGGTCCTTTGTTCTATGTCCCCTAGCAGAGCTTTTGAGCAAGTTAGTGTGCAGGTTCCAAAGAGGCTGAGACATGAAGCCATAGATTTGCCTGGCACCGGCAGCTCATTACAAAAGAATGCCACTGCCAAGAGTTTGAGGGTTGGGAGGCCCCTGGAAAGGCTTCCAGATACAGAGGAAGCCGACTGGGTCACAATAAGAGATAGCATGACCTCTCAAAGATGCTTCATAGATTGCCAGGCAAACCCTTCCAGGCCTGGCATCAGCCTTTCTCACCAGTCTCAACTCCTGGCCTTCTTCCACAGCTAAGCCGGCCTTTCACCTCATCTTTTCCTTCATGTGTGTTTGGATTCATCTCAAGTGGAGTTTTAAGGCCAAACTCACATACTACTTCCTCCTCACACTAAGTTATCTTTTTTTTATGCTGTTTATATTTTCTACTGTCAACAATCATCTTCTGACAGTGTGATTAGCTATGTAAACTGACACCTACTCACAGAACTTAGGGAACTGTGCTGCTAATCCAAAGATGGCACCTCTCTGGTGGTTCAAATCTACCAGCGGCTCTGAGGGAGAAAGATGGGCAGTCTCCTGCTGTGTGACATACACCCTCCACCTATGAGTCAGTCCAACTCAATGGCAATGAGATGGATTTGGGGTGTTAGGAGGACACTCATACCCTGCTCTCCCAGAAGTTGGATGCTATAGAATGGACTGTTGTGTCCTTTCCTATTCTGAATCTGGCTGAGGCCATGAACTGTATGAGTCAACTTAGTCTCTTGCCCTCAGATTGGCTTGATTTCATTTGATGTAACTCACAGCTTAATGCACAAGCTAGAACTTTCCTATCTCTTCCTACAAAACTTTCTTTCCTCCAGTACTGAGCTCTGATGGCTTAGCGGTAAGGGTTTGCACTACCAGTGCAAAGATGCATGATTCAAATTCATTAGCTGCACCACAGGAGAAAAATGCATGCAGTCACCTCCCATACAGCTCACTGCCTCTGAAACCACTGAAGGGTCAGCTAAGAGTCAGTTCCGACTCTGAGGTACATAGCAACAATCAAGTGCTGGGAAGCTCTGTATCAAGTTGCACTGCTAACTTAAAAGCTGCTAGTATCTGGCAGTTTAAAATCACCTGCAGCTCTGAGAGAAAGATAGGCAGTCTCCTCCAATTGCAATTTAAAGCCTCAGAAACCACATCAAGGGAACCAACTTGAAGACAGTGACTGAGTGAGGGAATACAATGTTATTTTCACAAGAAATTACAGGTATGTGGGAAAGGTCTTCACGTACTTGTAAAGAGAATTGATTAAGGATTTTCCTTTTGGGGCTAATTTCTCAGCAAAGTTAGTCCTCCCTTCTTTGGATTATGTTGTGTTCTGTTTCTGAAGTATTAAAGAGGGCCTCAACTTGGATTAGAAGAACAGAGCTCAAATTCTGTTCCTGCTGATTAATATTACATGAATGTAGATAAATCTTTTCATCTGTCCTACTCTCCGTTCTCTCTTACAAGGTTAAGGGGAAGGATATGCTCTAGAAATCTTTCCATTATTATCCCTTTATATATTATTCCTCTTCAAGCCCTCTCTACTCTTCTGGAGCTCTGATTAAATGTATTTTTTACTAACTACATGGTTTAGTGGCGAAGAGATTGAGATTGTTCACAGCTTCAGTTTGCTCGGCTCTACGGTCAACACTCTTGGCACTAGCAGTCAGGAAATCAAAAAACATATTGTGATGGGAAAGTTTGCTGTTAGGGACCTCTCTAAAGTACTCAAGAGCAACAGTGTCTCTCTGGAGACTAAGGTGCGCCTGATACAGGC